ATATATAAATAATTTGGGCAAACTTATTGGATTCCGTGAATCCATACATCGTGCTCTAGATCTGCTATAGATGTTTTCTTTTAAAAAAACAGAATTAAGTTGCAAAACTTTGTCTTTTCATCAATTTCGTCACCTCAAACGTCATGAGTCCAAATTTGGTCCTCAAACTTGTTACTCCCTTATATATATATCCAACTCTAATTATTATCATAGAACACAATTATTAAGAGTCATACAAACCAAGATTTCTCTTCCTTTTTCTCTCACACAATACTACAGCCTACTTCCCTCTCTATATTCCAACTCTTTTTCGGACTTAGGTTCTCTAACTTCTATTCTCGATAAGTTTACCTAAGTGTAACAATGGTGCAACCCCATGTCCTCTTAGTGACTTTTCCAGCACAAGGCCATATTAATCCATGTATCCAATTTGCCATGAGGCTAATTAGGATGGGCATTGAGGTAACTTTTGCCACGAGCGTTTTCGCCCATCGTCGTATGGCAAAAACTGCGACTTCCACTCTACCCAAGGGCTTAAATTTTGCGGCATTCTCTGACGGATACGATGATGGTTTCAAGGTCGATGAGCATGATTCTCGACATTACATGTCGGAGATAAAAAGTCGCGGTTCTGAAACCCTAAAAGATATCATTTTGAAGAGCTCAGACGAGGGACGTCCTGTGACATCCCTCGTCTATTCTCTCTTGCTTCCATGGGCTGCAAATGTAGCGCGTGAATTTCACATCCCGTGCGCGTTACTATGGATTCAACCAGCAACTGTGCTAGACATATATTATTACTACTTCAATGGCTATGAGGATGCCATAAAAGGTAGCACCAATGATCCAAATTGGTGTATTCAATTGCCTAAGCTTCCATTACTAAAAAGCCAAGATCTTCCTTCTTTTTTACTTTCTTCTAGTAATAATGAAGGAAAATATAGCTTTGCTCTACCAACATTTAAAGAGCAACTTGACACATTAGATGTTGAAGAAAATCCAAAAGTACTTGTGAACACATTTGATGCATTAGAAAAAGAGGAACTCAATGCTATTGAAAAGTATAGTTTAATTGGGATTGGACCATTGATTCCTTCATCATTCTTGGATGGAAAAGACCCTTTGGATTCTTCCTTTGGTGGTGATCTTTTTCAAAAATCTAATGACTATATTGAATGGTTGAACTCAAAGGCTAATTCATCTGTGGTTTATATCTCATTTGGGAGTCTCTTGAATTTGTCAAAAAATCAAAAGGAGGAGATCGCAAAAGGGTTGATTGAGATTCAAAGGCCATTCTTGTGGGTAATAAGAGATCAAGAAAATGGTAAAGGAGATGAAAAAGAAGAAGAGAAATTAAGTTGCATGATGGAGTTGGAAAAGCAAGGGAAAATAGTACCATGGTGTTCACAACTTGAAGTTTTAACACATCCGTCGTTAGGATGTTTCGTGTCACACTGTGGATGGAATTCGACTCTGGAAAGCTTATCGTCAGGTGTGCCTGTCGTGGCATTTCCTCATTGGACGGATCAAGGGACAAATGCTAAACTAATTGAAGATGTTTGGAAGATAGGTGTAAGGTTGAAAAAGAATGAAGATGGTGTGGTTGAGAGTGAAGAGATAAAAAGATGCATAGAAATGGTAATGGATGGTGGAGAGAAAGGAGAAGAAATGAGAAGAAATGCTCAAAAATGGAAAGAATTGGCAAGGGAAGCTGTAAAAGAAGGTGGATCTTCAGATATGAATCTAAAAGCTTTTGTTCAAGAAGTTGGCAAAGGTTGTTGATATTTTTCTAATTAAGCAATTGTTTTCCTATTTGTAATTTGCTTCTTTTTTTTCCTAATAAAGTTTAGTGTTCAACTTCTATATATTCGGATTGTTCAAAAAAAATTGTATACTATCATGTCGTCTAAAAGAGAATTACAAGACAAATAAGTGTGCATGATAAGTGAAATCAATATAGTGCAATCTGCTATACAATAAGACATTTCTATAATAATATACCTATATAATAGCCATTCACTATTAGTTTTCTTGGAACCGATCTTTTACGTCATGTTATAATTAATATGTCATCTATAACATCAATTCCATATAGCATCTAAAAAATATCGACGCGGCTATTATAGATATGTTTGACTGTAGTAAGTTAAGCTATAGTGATAATATAAAGCTGTTATGTACTATCAGTGTATATAAGTTATATTCTTAAATTTAGTTGTATTCTTAAATTTATAAGGCGGAAAATATTCGTGTTTCATAAAACAAGCAAATGCTCAAATAGCTAGATTCTTATGTCTACTTGTTATTTTTGCCATTGCTATATTTTTCTTTTTAAATCTTATTTTTTGTGGTTGTTTTATATTTTAGTGTGATAAGGTTGTACTTTAACACGTACCAAGACATGAAGGTCTACATAATACAAAACAAGACAGCGAATTCCTCTGTCACTTTCTTAGTTGTGACAAAAGTTACAGTCACATATATTATAACGGTAAGCTAGCTTTTGAGCTACGTGTCGAATTGAATCCAGTATTTTTAATACGAAATATAAATATACGTAAAAATCACAAAAGTTCAACAAATATTAGATTTTGAACCTATAATTTTAAAATTATAATAAGTTTAATACTAAGAACGTAACTTTAAAAGTTGAATTTATTAAATTTAAATGCTAAATTCGTCTCCTGATGTGCAGTGGTGGAGCCACATTCAATCAAAGGTGCCTGACACCTAAAAAAAAAAAGACAGCCTGGGACACTAAGCTCCCGCTATGCGTGCCGGAACCATATGATTGTCCGTGGACAATATTTATGTTCGTAGAATACAGTAGAATCACTTGTTTATAAATGGAGTGTCTGTTATGTCTGTGGACCATATTTATGTCCGTTCACTTTAAATAAATGGAGTATAATCTCGTTCTAGAAATAAGCAAGTGAAAGCTAAAAATCTAAATTGGTGAATTAATGTTAAACCTGTCATTTTATGTGTTTGTAGTATACTTGGAAAAGAATAATAACTTTTACTATCTAAAATTAATTTAACTTTAATCTTCTCCCTTAATAAAATAATTTTATAGCCACAAATATATCATAATCGCATATACAACACTATACGTTCCAAAAGCTTTTTTTTCTTTCTTATTTGCGTGCTAAAAAATTAGTCGACTACATATATGCTACGTGTTAGTAATCTGTATTTGTAAAATAATTCTGGAAAATATAAATGAACATAAACAGAAATGTAAACGAAATAACAAAAACCAATTCGAACCCACTGAATTCACAGTGTTTCCTTAAGGAATTTAATCCCCTCCTAGTAACCAAGGTTATGGATTATTTCCTCCCAGGATAGAGCGAATTACACACTGGTGTAGTGGTACTTCAAACCCCATTGTTTCAGCGAACACAAAGTTCGGTAGCAAATCACACTTACTGTTGCTTTGTTTGACGTTAAAAGTATGCAGAGGAAGGAGGAGAAACTCAGAAAATCGTATGGAAATTCTGAGCAGAATAGCCTTGTATTTATAGCCAAAGTTGGGCTGGAATCTGAAGAGGTGCAACTTTTCAGAATGGCTGTTTATGCAAAACGGCCACAGCATAAATGCCATAACATAAATGGCTATTTACTCAACAATAAAGAGGGAAAATTGAAGGGTAGTTAATTTTCTGTTACAAAAACAGAAAACTGAAATTTGAATAACTGAATTGGATTTAAAACAAATATTTAATAACATTTCTGTTAATATTTTACTATTAACAAATAAATTTGGTCCAAAAATTAATCAATCGATCATTTGACCAAATCCGAATCCGAATCCGAAGCCGAAGCCGAAGTCGAGCCGAGCGAGCGAGCGAGCGAGCGACGACGACGAGGGCGCGAGGCTTGCCTTCTTCTCAACTCTTTATGAGCTAGAAGAAGAGCAATTGCTTATATACCCATCAAAAACCTTTTCCTCTTCCAATATGGGACAATGTCCCTTTGCCAAGAGGGGGAAACTTAAAATTTCACTCAAAAAATTTCATTTCCCTCCATTTCCCATTCACCCTTTTTTAAATATTTAATATAATTAAATACATAAAACCCAACAATCCCCCACATGAATGAGGAATGGCTATATCACGGAAACATGCATGAAAAACTATGTGATTCACAAGCAAAGATTAATTGCATCTGGATAAGTAGGTTTCCCTTTGAACTTTCCGTAGTGAACTTATGTCGGATATACTCGATCAATCGGTAGATTTGATATCTTTGAACCGTCGAACTTTAGTGTATACCTAGACAACCACAAGTCACACAACCAACTCTTAACCGTCTTTGGTTCTCATTGTTGTGTTTGTTTCAGCCATGAACACCGCCTGGTTTCATAAGTGCGTAGAGAACTGGCCATCCAAAGTTCTCTTTGAAGCGGCTAACCCTTCACACTTACATAGGTGATTCCTAAATCGTGTCATCCCGTAGATACACTATTTGATATACCCCGTATCAAATTTAGAAATCATTACAAAGCCTTAACGCTTTATCCTTGGTACTGAACATTGTCTCATCACAAGAATGGACCAAAAGTTTAGTTGACAATGTTGAACCGTCATTAATGACTTTGTTTAATCTCCTTGAACCTAGATCTTAGGATCTCCAGTCTTCTAGGTAGAGTTACCGCCACTATGACTTGTTCTCGGCCATAGTCCCATTCCCCTTGATGATTTCTCAACTACCTCTCTAGTTAGGCCTTTTGTAAGCGGATCCGACACATTATCACTTGACTTTACATAATCAATCGTGATAATTCCTCTAGAGAGTAATTGCCTAACGATTTTATGTCTTCGTCGTATATGACGAGATTTACTGTTATACATAACGCTCCCAGCCCTTCCAATTGCCGCTTGACTATCGCAATGTACGCATATTGGTGCCAACGGTTTGGGCCAAAATGGAATATCTTCCAAGAAATTCCGGAGCCATTCAGATTCTTCACCGGCTTTATCCAAGGCTATGAACTCAGCCTCCATTGTAGAGCGGGCAATACAGGTTTGTTTGGACGACTTCCAAGACACCGCTCCTCCACCAATAGTGAATACATATCCACTTGTGGACTTCGAATCAGCTGAACCGGTGATCCAATTTGCATCACAGTATCCCTCAATGACCGCAGGATATTTACTGTAGTGCAAAGCAAAGTCCTGGGTATGTACTAAATACCCCAAAACTCGTTTCATGGCCATCCAATGAGATTGACCTGGATTGCTCGTATATCGACTCAATTTACTTATAGCACAAGCTATATCTGGTCGTTTACAATTCATGACGTACATTAAGCAACCCAACACACGAGCATAATCCAATTGTGATATGCTTTGGCATTTGTTCTTTGCTAATGCAAGATTCACGTCAATTGGAGTCTTTGCAACTTTAAAGCCCAAGTGCTTGAATTTTTCAAGTATTGTCTTAATATAATGAGATTGTGACAATGCCAGACCCTGAGAAGTTTTATGGATCTTAATTCCCTGAATTAAATCAGCAACTCCCAAGTCTTTAATATCAAACTTTCCAGTTAGCATGTGCTTAGTCGCATTTATGTTGGCAATGTCATTACTCATTATCAGCATATCATCCACATATAAACAAACAATGATTATGTGATTTGGAACATTTTTAATGTACACACATTTATCACATTCATTTATTTTAAAACCATTTGACAACATAGTTTGGTCAAATTTCGCATGCCATTGTTTGGGTGATTGTTTTAGTCCGTAAAGGGACTTAACAAGTCTACATACCTTCTTTTCTTTACCTGGAACCACAAACCCTTCAGGTTGTTCCATGTAAATTTCTTCCTCCAACTCTCCATTTAAGAAGGCTGTCTTAACATCCATTTGATGAATTTCAAGACCATAATCTGCAGCTAACGCTACTAACGTTCGTATGGACGTAATTCTTGTAACTGGAGAGTATGTATCGAAATAGTCAAGACCTTCTCGTTGTCTATACCCTTTGACAACAAGTCTTGCCTTAAATTTGTCAATAGTGCCATCATCTTTCATTTTCCTCTTAAAGATCCATTTAGAACCCAACGGTTTATTTCCAGGAGGAAGATCAACCAATTCCCATGTATGGTTGTTCAGTATGAATTCTATTTCACTATTGACTGCCTCTTTCCAAAATAGTGATTCCGAAGAAGACATAGCTTCTTTAAATGTTTGAGGCTCATTTTCCAATAAGAAAGTCACAAAATCTGGTCCAAATGAAGTAGACGTTCTTTGAAGTTTACTACGTCTTGGATCCTTCTGGTTAAGTGTACTTTCTTTTGTTTCTTCCCGAGGTCGTTTAGATCCTTCACCAATCGACTCACATTCCTTTTTATATGGATATATATTTTCAAAGAACTTAGCATTATCTGATTCTATAACCATATTATTATGAATGTCGGGATTTTCTGATTTATGAACCAGAAATCGATATGCTTTACTATTAGTCGCATATCCTATGAAAACACAATCAACGGTTTTCGGTCCTATTTTTACCCTTTTGGGTTTAGGAACTTGCACTTTTGCCAAACATCCCCACACTTTAAAATAATTCAAGCTGGGCTTCCTTCCTTTCCATTTTTCATATGGAATGGATTGTGTTTTGCTATGGGGTACTCGATTTAGTATTCGGCTAGCCATAAGAACAGTTCCCCCCCCCCCCCCTGTAGCAAACCAGAACTTATCAATAAAGCGTTCATCATCTCCTTTAATGAACGATTCTTTCTTTCTGCAATCCTATTGGATTGGGGCGTGTAAAGGGCCGTTGTTTGATGAATAATTCCATATTTTAAACATATTTGTTCAAAAGGAGATTCATATTCACCACCCCTATCACT